CGATATGGCTGAAATATTGCCGATGTGACGTTAAATAATAACTCACTCATTACACAGGAATGGAGTTTATTTGTAATATTTTCGAAGCGTAAGAATGCATTACACTGGATACATCAGCCGTTTTCGTGTAACTTCGGTCAATGCGTTTTATTTGTTAAGATGCTTTTGAGGGGTTTAGGGTTAGGGTTAGGGACCTTATCCAATATGGTAGGTAGATGTGTAATGCGTTGTGCATGTTAACCATTTGTTGTTTTTCCTTTCGCATTTTAAAAACTTTTTTCCACAAAAACGTCTAAATTACACGATACATATCGGGACACTTTCACAACTGAAAGTTGTTCGCGACAGAGTTATCTCCCCTTCTGCATGTTATCCCCATGTCCGTTACCAAAAGCAGTAACTTCTGATGGTTAATGGCAAATAACATTTTAACAAGATACAGGTTACTCCGATGCACCTAACCTGACATTTACAGTTATTAGCTTACAATAAACAACTAATCATTTCCCATGTTCATCGATATTTTCAACCGTCAAACATCACGAATAAAATTTTAATAACCTTTTCAGTAGCATTGAGTTCAGCTGCATTTAGACTTTCGTGCTCGCAAAACTTCGTTTTCCACAGGTCATTTATTCATAGAGTTTCCATTGCGAGCTGGTGTAGTTAGATGAATTCTCCAGCTACCTAATACGATATTTTAATTACCGCTAACATAAATATTTAAACCGTCTTTTTACGGAAAATTGCAAATATAACATAACCGGTGTTCATGCAATTTGATACCCTTAAGAATCATTCATGTAAAGTTTCTCTTAAAACTGAATAAACAGGTTTCATGCCTTTACACGTTGCTTTTCATAATGCTAATGTTTTAACATAACACTGTTTAACTCGGGTAAATCAGGTTCAAACAGGTAAAAATAAAACACAAGGATATGTTTGCGATTCCTTTTATTGTATTAATTCATCCAACATAAATGCACTCCATGCTGCTACATATATTTATATGTCATTTCCTGATGACAGATTGGTAAACCAAACAACTTACCATATTAAAACGGCGCTACGGGCTCTGCAGAAAGTGAATTATGCTGTGTAGCCTGCTGGCGATCAACTTTAATATCTAATACAAACACCATCAGCTTACTACTCATGGGCAACACTGACGAAGATAAAGTACGTGGAACATGTAAAGTGTGAGCTTCGGGTCTCTTGTTGTTTGGAGGAAGAGGATATCTCAAACAATCCACACAAATACATAGGCGTAAAGATCATAGCAAGGTCAAATATGCAAATTAGATATGACCCATGCACTCAGTTGTTAGAGCAGACGGATGACCGGACGCCGGATTGCGTGCCATGCCACACGCCTATCGGGCCTTTCAGGCCTGTGGAGCTAAAATTAAATAACATGAACCATAAAATGAAATTTCCAATCCCATTAGTGAATTAACTTTATTCACCGAACCTTAAACTCATTCAAGAAGCGTTTTTTTATCTATGTGTTGAGCATTTAATTAAAAAAACCATGTAATTATTGCCTACAAAATTTTAACAAACTCATTTCTTATGGAAACATAGGAGGCTAATGACTTCATTGTATTTTACCTTAACCAGGAAGCTAAATTGAAAACACTAAACTGATCGATGTTCCCTACAAACATGAAAAAGTTCGAAAAGCAAGATCAGCTACCTTTTAGCTCTCAAAACTTAATGTAAATACAGTAAGGCGAACCAGAAATGGTTTAACTTTTGTTTCCGTTATGTTAACGGAAAAATCAAGTTTTTGTCTTTGTCAAACTGTAAACATTTAAAATAAACCTAACGCTATCATTCACAATGTTATTTTCGACATGGGACATTGCTATTCATTCACAGCAATAGGAAACATGTACGCATACATTATTTGAAAGCACACTCGTATACAGACTAGATTTTGATGTGCTCCAAACATAATAACATTCTCAAATCAAATAACGGTTTCCTCAAAGGAGAGGACATACAGACGCACGGTGATATACTGATATTTTATCTCAATCACTTTACATCTTGGTTTCTAAACAACATCCGAATGATATTAAACGTTCATCCAAACATGAGTTTACTCAACCTTGCACACAGCAATCACAAGCTGAAACTATCATACCTCATCCTTAGGTATATTTCATAACAAAAGATAATAATAAATTTATTTTTCATGTGGTGAAAATTATCATCTAAACCAAAAGCAAGCATAAGCACGGCTTCTTTGCATTCAGCTCTCCTACCCAACCGACATCAACACGGAATTGCTTGCTTGAACAAAAATAAGTCTTAAAACAAGACAATATAATTGCATTAAATAGGCAAACTCAATTAGATGTCAAAAACATTGACAGAGCATATCTACCCTCCAAAGAATAAAACTGTTAACCATAAAGACAAGAATACAAAGAAGCAAACTACCTGCAGTAGTACAAATTCTTTTACTTTCGTGGTTGAATGATGCGAGTCTCAAACCACATCTTCGCCACCAGGGCTCACTGTGGTCATAGTTAAAGTCGAGGTTAAAGTGTTGTAAGGCTGAGTTCTGGCGTGAGGTGTCTTACTGAGTTTTAGCCCTCCTCGAATACAACCACTAAAGTACAGGAATTTGTACTCTTGCAGACAGTGTAATCCAGAAGTCGGCTCCTGTGCATTTGTTCCATTAAAAGAGGAGAAAAGTTTTGATATTATGTATGCCAATAAAGAAACTTGACTGTCGGCAAAGAGTGCTATATCATGTAGCATATCGCGGCGAGGAAACATCAGACTTTTAACATAATTCTTACTAGTTAAACTTCCTCCTCTGCATGTTAAACACTTCTGTGAGGTGAGACCACTCAGTCTACGTCACTCGAACTAGCTAGTAGTTAACTGTGTGCCAGTTTTCATTTTGACCCTTTTATAATTCTCCAGCAAGGTGATTCGGTTTTGCTTCTGGAGTATTTGTTTCAAGGACGTTTTTCCATGATTACTTGCTCTGAAATACTGTTTAGTTACGATATCGTTAAGTTTTTCTAGCCCCTGCTGTGTAAATCCGATCAAATTTCCATGAATTCCAATCAGTTCAGGAACATGATGCTGAAGGATGTGAATATACGGGGTAACATCACATCTCTGATACGCATCTACATACAGCTTGATCCATGAATTAATCTCAGAAGACACTTCATTCACATTTGGTGCACTTGATTTCACTAAATCGTTTATGGAGTGAAACCCATCCCAGACGGATTGTATAACGCCTGCCCTCTCTTCATCGTCAAGTAATTCAGAGGCTTTAAATACCTTTGAGAGTTTCAATTTCTCGGGACCTTGCAAATCACGAAACTCTATTTTCCGTGTATCTTTGTTGATAAAAATTCAAAGTTTATCCCTGCTTCTTTTAATTGTTTCTCCAGTCTAGACATGTTTAAGCTTATTTCTATCAAGGCCAGCTTTGAAACAAGTGTTTGTCTTTACATTGTCCAACAGTCTCAATTCACACACAAGAAGACTGAACAGCTTATCTGTAACCCTCAGAAAGAGATGCAGTTGGTCAATCACCACGTTTCTTAGAGGTATGTTAGGAAACAAAGGATCGTTTGATAAAGAATAATCAGTTTTTGTTTTCTCTGCATTTTGTCACTATTCGATGCCTTATAATCAATTCGCGCCCTTTGTTTGGATCCGACATTGACCATTTTTCTTCGACACGATAACGTTCCTGTTTTGAACACTTGCAGTATATACATGTGTGTTGAGATGCAATAGAACTTATTCCTACAGCAATGAGTAAGAACTTATAATCTCCACCTAGATAAAGAGTAAGTTTCAATTGTACACCAGCTATGGAGATCCACGTTCCATTTAATTCATCTGTTTCCTTCCTTAAATTGGAAGGGCCTGAGTAAGTTCATAGTGTCGTTCCCTAGTGCATACAATGGCTAGAGGGTAATTTCCAGCGCAGAACCACATTTACTATCGTTAAGGATAGTAAAAGCCACGTTTATCACATGTAAGTGTTTCCCGATCCGTGTCCCATCTGCCGAGATTTTTACTTTAAGACATGTCCCGTCAATATAAGCATCTGGGTCATTTGCGATCAAATTTGGCACAACAGCATGTAACCGCTCTCGGAGTGACTGTTCATATCCTAATCCGTCTGGAGTTTCCTTTATGATAAAGTTACTGTTTAACTGCGAATATGTCTCTTTAATTTTGTGAGATCTGGGAAGATTTTTGAACAGCATAGTAAGTTCATGATAAGCATTGTTGCTTACATTAAACACATCTAATACATACAAGAGTCTATTCAAGCTGTCTTCCCTTATTTCTTTGTCTTTTTCAAGGATAATTTCATCGTGTTTGCCACCCTTTTCTATTAGTATTGACAAAACCTTGGTGTTGTCCTCTTCAACAAAAGATAGTGCATCCTTACACTGCTCAATTTTCCTTTTCTTTGCATAAGAGTGAGTACAGTCAGCTAGTATTTTCCTTTTCCGATCTCTGTCCTGGACCGTCTGGGAGCCTTTACTTTTCAGTTTACATTCGGGTTTTAGTGCTTCCACTAGTTTAGTTTCTAACTGCTGGTTTTCATGTTTTAAATTATCAATGATGCACTCCAAGTTTTGTTTTATTTCATTAACTTTTAATTCACTGCGATGTCCATCTATACTTACATTCCACTTGTATTCTTTTTTAGAAAGATTGGCTAAAAAATGTCTGAACTGCCTTCCACCTTTCCTTTTACACGTTGCTGCTTGTTTTCTGAGTCTGAATAATTCTGATTTCATATTGTCCTTTTCCCTTTCGCTGACAATATAAGACACACCAATTTCGTCCTCTAACTTGCTAATGAAAGATTCCATGTTTTCTTTGGTCAACTGATTTTCCCAAAAGTTACTCTGCAATATGTTAAATAACGTCAGTTTTGAAATGACTACCATGATGAGACGTAAAACTGTAACTTTCATGCTGGACTCTTGCCTATATGACTATAAACTGGTGGCATTGAGGAGATCTTTCAGTCGGGACACGTTTCCTGGGGCTTCGACAAAGGTGAATGAAAGTTGATAGCCTCTGTCGAGGAAACACTCCTCTACGTGGTCTGGAAAGACTGTGAAATCAACCAGTGACCTCCGCTTACCAAACCAAAACTTGACTGTGTCAGTTTTGACAAAAAAGTTATCACCTTGAGCATTGATGACTCTGTATTCCCACCCGACTCCCAGTATGGGCTCTAAACATTGTCTGGAGGAGATCACGTACACTGTTCATTCGTGACCAACTCGTGTTATTCCGGGACAAGCCGAATAGCGACTCGTGCCCCTCTGGAAGGATTTCATATTGGCGCATGAACATCAGAACTACTTTAACAAGAACGATAACTCTATCCCTGTTTGATTCCAGTGTTTCTTAATTATACCGAAGCACATGTACATTGTATTGCTAGGTTGTTGTTTTGGGGCTTTGTTTATTTATTTATTTTAAAGAATTAAACCTCTTTAGATACAACTAAAAGAAGGAGAAAAACATATTTGTTAAAGACATATTCTAATGTAATTATTACCAGCTGTTAACCTTATATTTCCAATTAGGGTTTACTAATCACAAATGGGAATTACTTTATTGAATATCGTGCCAATAAAAGTTTTTAAAATTCAGCTACATTAAATCCCAAAGCACATACTCAAGAATGACTTTAAAATATTTTTCTCAAATTGAACATTCGTTTAATTTTGCTGTCATACCCTTGGTGGAATTTTAAATGAATTTGCTGAAAAAAGTATGAATGACCCAAAAAATAGTCAGACTAAAATATCTCCAGAGATGTGAAATATAGCCCAATGTTTGAGATTAAAGTTGATTAGTTACATACAAATACGATATTATTGTTTTGAAACTCGTAGCGATTTGTAATTACATTTCCTAAAATTGTTTGAAGCGCACGTACAATCTCCATAACAAGCAGGCAAGATCGTCAGAAATACACTCAGTTGGACCCATGAGACCAGTGATGTCAACAAACGCACGTGCGTGTATTTGAATCTCTCACCGTCAATCGCATGATTCTTTATTAAAAACTTCATAATAGGTAGCAAAATCCTGTTAGCTACGTTCTTTGTACTTTCAATATGACGATATATATGTTTCATGATTTTTGAAACAATGACATAATGCCATAAACGATTTAAGTACTCGGGATTATTTTTACCAAAGTACCGCAGTGATTTACGCGCGTTCTGATTGGTTTGTCGTATTTTCGCACATAACAAGCATCGAGTGGGGGACGAGTCTTCTTGCAGGTTACGGAAAGGGGCGAGTGGTGACGAATGGTACACTGTTCTGTCTCTCCTGGTCTGGTAAACCTCACCAATCTGTTTAATTACCTCGAAATCATCACTGGTTATAGGTACTCGAATAAACAACTTGCTGTCTGTGTGTGAGTTATTCAGTGCTTCTTTTATTTCAATCTGTAGTTGTCTAAGTGGTAGTCTGTCTGGTGGAGTAGTGTCAACGATGTCCTCAACCTTAATTACTTCGTCATATGAAGTGCTCCATCCTGAAAAAGTAAATCTCTTAAGTTTTGTGTAAGAAAATATTTTGTGATTTTTTTATTGTGATTTTAAAAATACTAAACACAAAGGCCCATTTGGGCGCAGAAATTCAGTTTCAGAAACACAGTTTACAAATATCTGTCGGATAAAGTACGTTTTAGAAGTTCCAAACATCTTCAAACAAAAATACAGTGGAATCTGTCATATTCGGACCTTGGGTAATTCGGTTTTCTTTACAGTTCGGACCTTAGTGCTGGTCCCAGCAGAACTTAGTTAAACTATCATTATACAAACGCTGAATAAATCGGTACTAGTGTTTTGTAGAAATTCTACACTTTACCACTAACCACTAGGTTATGTCATTCAATTAGATACCAATGTAATGAACCCGGCAAAATCCTGTCCTTGGTCGGTCGATAATTCTAATGGGATACAACCCAGGTGTCCATGTTTCTTTTTTGACTGGAGGTACTGGCCTTACCACAAGTCTACGCCCATCAGCCAAGTCTCTGTAAATGATAAATCTGTCAATCAGGATCTGGATGTAAAGGAAGAATGTTTTTTAAATAACGTTTAATCTCATGTGTAGTAATGATACAAAAATAAATTGAAGATGTATTTTTCCCCAACTAAAATTAAATAAGTTGAAACTACTTTACTAAGTTTCACGGGGTACAAATTCAGGCGTCACCGGTGAGTTTGCAACGTGCCGTCCCACGTGGAATCTTTATTAACGTTTCTACCAAATAATGCTTATATCAGAGTAAAACATCAATTAAAACAAAACGTAGGTTGTTGTTAGATGTTAAGCTTATTTACCTGTAAGAATTGACTTTTGATCCGTCGATATTTATAATTTGTCTTTGACGCAGACGTCTGCTTATTTCTTTCGCCGCCATATTTGTCAGGAGCGACCGAGGATAGATAACTCTCATCCATGTGACATAATTTTTCATCTCTGTCTCAATATGAAATTGTTTAATGCAAAAAAATTGGGCTAATGGATATTGTCTGGAACTTGCACAGAAGCCACTTTCACACGCTACATTTGTTCAGAAAATGATTCGAAGTCTAATTCACCCCGTGGCTTCACCAGACATACTCATGTCTCCCTCACTCCTTAGAGGGAAACACGTTATCCTAACAGTGTTCCCTACAACACTGCTCTATCATCCGATGATTTTTTTAAAAGCACGTCATTCATGCATACCGTGAATCCGACGTCTGACGTCAATAGCCGTTTTCAGTTCGCGCCATATTGACTCATTCCACTCCACTCGGTAGCTTGTATATTACAGAATGGGACGGGTTTGCCAAATGGTATCGGGACCAATAGCCATAGTGTAGTGGTTAGAGCGTCCGCCTGGAGGGCGGAAGGTCGCGGGTTCGATCCCCGACCGCGTCATACCAAAAGACGTTAAGATATGGTAGTTGTTGGTCCCTGCCTGGCGCTCGGCATTAATGGGTACAACAAGGACTGGTCGGCTCGGAGTCAGTCAGTCAGTCAGTCTGAGTGGGGTATTCATGCTTCACTGCGGCATGGTATCTCAGTGGGCTAGCACTATAAAACCAGCTTATGTCTGGGCTAGTACAAGCAGCCGCACATACACATACACACGCATGCACGTCGTCAAAGGAGCGAAATATTCTCAAGCACGACGTAAAACCCAATTTCACCTCACCTCACCTCTCTTAGAAATGTTGTCTTGTTGATCCATTGCAAAATATAATGTCAACTAGCTGTTACATGACAAGGAAACAGACTACTTTTATATGACGTTTAATTTATTCTTCTTTTTTGTTTCCAGTGAAGCAATTCTACACCTGTATGACAAATCTCATCTGTACCACACCTGGATCACCTGCTTTTTTGACGGATGCCTGAAGATCAGAAAACAGTATTTATTTGCCTGTTATCGCATTTTGTGTGACAATATACATATTTATTTCTCCATTTTCTGTTACGCTGTGTGATTTTCTCTGATTGCCCATATGTGATTACCTTTAATTAGAGAACGGTAAAATAGAAACAAAAATTCTTCATTTTGAAATGCTACATAGTTTTGGCAATCCATTGATATTTAACATGTTGGGGTTGTCACAAGTATAAATATACCATAACACTTGAGAAAATGGTATATTTTCATTGGAAACTCTCAGGGAACTTGTTATACAGGAATTCAATGCCTTGGCAAACTTGGTGTAACAAAGGGAAATACCTCCGGGTGGCTGGTGTTGAAAGCGTTAGTGAGTTACGATTTTAAGTAACATCGGCAGTATTTTCAATCACATCATGACTAAAACAAGTTATGCATTCATAATACATAAGGTTAATTTTTTTTTTAAACTGTCAACGAGGGGCAGTAAAAACTAATAAAGTAAAAACAAAAAAAAAGTATGTCGATCTAAAGGTGAGGTGAAGTATGGTTTAACGTCGAGCTTACGATTATTTCGCTCATATGACGACGTGCATGTTTGTGTATATGAGGCTGCTTGTTCTAGCCCAGACTTAAGCTGGTTTTATAGTGCCAGTTCACCGAGATACCATGCCGCAGTTAAGCATGAATACACCATTTAGAAACATTATGCTGACTCCGAGCCAACCAGTTGTTGTACCCATTAATGCCGAGAGCCAGGCAAGGACAATCCTCGATAATCTCCAGGGTATACGTTACGATCACTCTCCACTATACCCAGGATGCATCCACGGCTTGGCCCGATAATCTGACAGATCTGAAACTTTCAAAAAATATATATAAAAAGAACTCCTTCCACAACTTTCAGAGTACCCTCTTCAATTGTGTTGCCACGTTTAACCGGTTAGATAATTTAAGAAGCGAAAGTGAGTTGTGATTGGTTCGCTCAACTTCCCAGCGTAGACACCTGATTGAATAAAAAGCCCACAGCAACAGGAGCTGATAATATACACTATCAGCTCTTGAAGCATTTACCGGAATCATGTTTGGAAGCTCTTCTAAATATATTTGACACAATATGGACTTCAGGGAATTTCCCACCATCATGGCGTAATGCCATTGTAGTCCCTATACCAAAGCCTGGCCGGGATCATACTGATCCGTCTAATTACAGACAAATCTCTTTAACGAGTTGTGTCTGTAAAACCATGGAACGAATAGTTAATAATCGATTAACATGGTATCTTGAAACCAATAATCTCATAACAAATATTCAATGTGGTTTCAGGAAAAATCGTAGTACCATTGATCATTTGGTACGATTAGAATCCTTTGTCAAAAAAATGCAATAGTTAATAAACAACATGCAGTATCGCTATTCTTTGATCTCGAGAAAGCGTACGATACCACCTGGAAGCATGGCATTTTAAAGGACTTACATGATTTTGGTTTAAGGGGTCGATTACCTCTTTTATATCACAGTTTTTAAAAGACAGGCAATTTCAAGTCCGAGTGGGTTCAACCCTGTCTGACCATTACAATCAGGATCAGGGTGTCCCACAAGGCAGTATTGTGTCTGTCACTTTATTTAGCATTAAGATCAACAGTTTATCCAAGGTTTTAAATGATTCCATTGATGGATCACTTTTGTGGATGATTTTAACATTTCTTGTCGCGGTAAGAATATGCATACTATTGAACGGCAACTGCAGTTGTGTTTAAATAAAATAAATAAATGGTGTCTTGAAAACGGCTTTAAATTTTCTAAATCAAAACAAATTGTCTACACTTCTGTAAAAAATATAAGCCTCATAAAGACCCAGAACTGTTTTTAAATGGCACTCCCATCAAAGTTGTAAAGAGGCCAAATTCTTGGGTCTGATTTTCGACTCTCATTTAACCTTTCTTCCGCATATTAAATCCCTAAAACTAAATGCCTGAAGGCACTCGATTTATTGAAAGTCGTGTCTAATTCAAGGTGGGAGGGATCAAGCTACGCTCCTACACCTTTACAGATCACTTGTCCGCTCGAAGCTTGATTATGGCTCCATCGTTTATGGTGGAGCCTGCAAAAGCAACCTAAAACTCTTAGATTCAGTCCACCATCAAGGTCTGAGACTTTGTCTTGGGTCCTTCAGAACATCTCCTGTTGACAGTCTCTACGTCGAGGCAGATGAGCCTTCTCTTACCCAACGCCGTATAAAATTATCATTACAGTATATTACGAAGCTATATTCTAACGAGTCTAATCCTGCGTTTCACTGCATCTTCACTCCTCTTTATGAGGATTTGTATAACAAAAAGCCTTCTCTTGTTCCACCTCTTGGGCACAGAATTAAACCATTCCTTTCTGCTGCCGGCATTGAGCTGGAGAATATATCTCCTTCTCGTCTTCTTTCTTCTCCTCCTTGGCAATTGATGAGGCCGGACGTTGACTTAACATTAACCACATTTAAAAAATCCCAAACTAATGATTTACGGTATAAACAAGAATTTAGTCAATTAAGAAATAAATATAATACCTATACATCCTTATATACAGATGGATCCAAGGATGGTGGCGCGGTTGCTTGTGCCACTGTCATTGGGTCCAAAACAATATCTTCCAGATTACCCAATGACAGTTCAATTTTCACAGCAGAAGCAAACGCAATACTAACAGCTCTTAAATATATTAATAAACACCGTAAATATAAACAATATATCATCTTTTCAGATTCTCTTTCGTGTCTTCAGGCTATTAAAAATCTTTCTTACCAAACATCCACTTTTTATTAGAAATTATTGAATTGTATAATGAGCTTGCTACTGGCCAATGATACGACATCGTCTTTGTTGGTTACCCAGCCACGTTGGCATTTCTGGGAACACGATGGCTGATCTTGCTGCTAAGGCTTGCGCTCAACAAATCTGTGACACCACTTCTGCTCCCATACTCTGATTACAAAGCTATCATTAGAAACTACATCCGTGATCTGGATGCAAAGAAGTGGGACACCCAAGTAGGTATCAATAAATTACATGCAATCAAACCAACTATCGGTTACACCTACTTGGGTTGTCAGTCCAGATTTGAAGAGGTCATCATACGACGATGTCGTATTGGCCACACTAGATATACTCATGAGTACCTACTAAAAGGTGAGGATCCTCCGTTTTGTATCCCTTGTGATGAAAGA